TCATGCCTTTAAACAGCTCTATGACTGTCAGAAATTTAATCCAGACCAAATTCCTCACTGCCAAAAAACTGCACCTAGGGAATAATTGCCTGTTTGAAAAGGACACATTCTCAGGGACATCCTCAGGGTCAAAACTGAGGAATTAGCAGCTGTAATGAAGTATTGCATATGAGAAGTTCAGCTTTCCTCTGATGATTATAAAAATGGAGGCCTGGCAAGAAAGGCACTACAACGTGGTCTATCGTGTGGCTCTGGAAAAATTAGGACTGGTATCACAGTCAACTGACTTGCTTTCCCTCCATTCTCAGTATTCCTGTCCTGGGATACAGCTCAAGGCCTGCAGAAAACCTTCGGACTGCGACGGCTGCTTGGGCCTTTACACCTGCAAACTGCCAAGGGGGAAGTGTGACCTGAAAGCGGTTTCCCGGCAAACAGGTACCATATAAACGCAGCCAGTAAACCTAATACACAGGTGGATGTGGGATGCTTCCACTCTGCAAACTGAGTATAGAATTCCCTGGTACAGCTCTAGTCCTCACTAAGTTGTCTGTGTCTGGATTGCTCCTATAAAGGAGAGCGAGAGAGAGAAAGGAGGAGGGAGGGAAAGCGCAGGTGTATGCATGCACAGGGTGGCATCATCACATATATCAATCCATGCAAAAAATAATATCCAAACAGTAAAACAAATAAGCAGGGGAAAGGTTTCCATCCAAGCATTTCCCTTGGGATGGAGTACTTTTAGCCATATATACCTATGTATATGGAGGATCATTGCATGAGATGAACTTACCTGCAAGTTTCCCAGCTCACAGTAAGAAAGAAGCCACAGACATAGCTGATATCAAGGGTGGGTGTGGGTGGGCACCTGCCAAGGAAGACCCTCCCCCCCACTGCCCCCTCTGGACAGATCCCTCCAATGGGGATGTTCGCCTGTCTTGCCGAAGGGACCGCTACAGCCTGCAGCCAGCACTGGCAGGAAATAGGCAGCAGGAGGCACTGTTGGCACAATACAGGGCTGTAGAAAGGAAATGGGGAGACAACCGGTTTAGGATGGTTCAGAATATCTTCCTATCCCTGTTTGTGCAACACCGGCATTTAGTTGCACCTGGGCATCCTTCTCAATCAGCTAAAGGCAGGAGGGAGTGCACATGAGTCAGGAAAAAGAAAAGCAGCTGCACAATGTGGTCACTACTGCAGTCACTAAACCCCACCTTGTTGCTACTCATTCCTTGTATCGTCATCGTCACCACCGCCTCTGCCGACGTGTAATCTAGAGGGACAAACCTGGGTTAGAATCTGGAATCAGCCATGAAGCTCAGAGGGGGGCTCTGAGAAGTGACATTTCCTTTTGCTGTCCTTTAACTCCCAACCTAGCCTCCAAGGTTTGTTTTGCAAGAATAAAATGAGAAGCCCTCAGCCCTGTGCTCCTTGGAGGCAAGCCAAGATAGGATCATAATGAAATAATAAAAGACCTCTTTCTTGCATTTGCCCTCTGTTGCAGAATGGTTTGCTGGGCTGCTTCTGGCACTGCTTGGGTAAAATGAAAAGCTCTGAGGAGCACGTGGGAGGAGACACATTCCCTCCCCACCCCACATGGTCCAGAGTTTCTCCTATTACCCAAGTGATGCAGGAAGAAGACATGCTGCAAAGGTAACATACAAAAGGATGTTTGAGGTGGTGGAAGTCTGGCTTGGACTGTGGATATATAGGATGGAGTCACTGGGGTGAGTTTGGGTGGACTCCAAGGGATGGTGGAAGACAGGAGCGCCTGGAGGAATGTTATCCATGGGGTTGTGATGGGTCAGGCATGACTTTGCAACTAAACAACAAAACAAAGTGTCATCTTTTGCATATGCTCCCACACACCAAAAATGTTTAAGTAAGACTATCATATTAGAAAGGTTTAGCATAACCCATTCCTGCTTGCATCACATGGACATTTAAACTTGCATGTGGGCATTCTTGTCCTGGGGCCTGCTCCAACCATGCTAGGAATGAAGGTAATGAACTGCCCAGGAGCAGTTTAAAACAAGCCCAGCACTTGTAGGAGCAAATTCACCATGCTCAGGATTACCTCGCCCATGTGGCAGGTTCATGCGCTTACCGGGCTGTTCAGGCAAGGCCAGCCAATTCCTGCTGCTTGAAAAATGCCACTGCTATGGCGGAGAGTCGGCACGCACCTACTGCTGGGAGCTCTCTCAAGCGGTGTCGCCCAAGGCAGTGTCTGGCCTTCACGCACCCGAGACAAGGCCCAAAGCCAGCAGGGCCTCTCCCAGACACGAGGGCACGGTGTGGTTGCCATGGGGAAGAGGGCAGATTCCATCCGCATCCGGCAGCAATCCTCCTGTGCTTTCCCCAACATGGCCTCTGCCGCTTTTCTTACCCAAGAAAGTGGTTTTTGTAAAAAAAAAAAAAGGGCAGAAAAGTAATAGCCTCTCCACAAGTGTAGTTGCCCAAAGCATGGCTCTTCTGTTGATTTTTTTTTTTTTTGGAAAAAGAGGTGTGGCTTTAAGGTTATCAAAGCTCAAGCACTCATTCAGGATAACTTTTGCTGTAGGAGTGCTTTTAAATCAACTGTTTATTTGAATTTTCATTATACTGTTAAGTATCATGAAAACATCACTCTCTTTCACGCATACACATGTGTGCACGCGGCATCAAATTGAAGAATTTAATTGTGCCACACTCCAGAATGCAATACTTATTTATTTAAATGGTGGAGGGGAAATTACTTTCTCATGGTCAGTGATGTAGCCCGGACTTTCATGAAGCTGACTGAAAAGGGATTTTTAAATGTTTTGCCTAAAATTAGTTTTACAGAGATATAGCATTGTCACTGCAGGATGCTATTTTTAATGTAGTGTTGAATAGTGCTATTACCTCTATAATTTTAATTTGCTTTAAAAAATACTAAGAAAATATTCTACTTGCTAAAATGTTGATTGGAAAGGTTCCTCAGTGCACATATGGATTGCTTTAGGTACGCAGCACGAGGACACTCTTTTGTGGTAGCTTAAGGGGTAGCTTAAGGCCAAAAAGTCACTGCCTTTGCCAAACTCATTCCCCTTAAACAAGACAGAATAGTCACACTATGGACACTGCTGTGGACAAAACATGACAGGAAATGCACAAGATCATGTGGAAAGACAGCTGCAATTCCACTTGTAGTATATTCCATTTGTTGCATTGCAATTCTGCTTCTGTCATGGAAGAACAATGATTTAGCAGAGCTCCCAGAAAGCAACTCGGGAAAGCTTAAATCATGTTGACAGAGCATTGCCAGAAGAGGTAGTGTTTGAGAGCAGGTCTTTAAGGACTTGGGACAAAACGGTCCTGCCAGGCTACCCAATCCAAGAAGACCCAGTCATACAAAACATGGATCAAGTGAACTACCTACTTTAGAACCAGCCCATGTACTAATGAGTCAAACTATCCAAAAGAGTGCCAGTTCTGAATACAGTGGGAACTTGGGATTCCTGTGAAAGGCATTCTGATACCCACTGACATTTCTTTGTGCTGATCAGTAGCAGAGATGTAGCTGTTTGCTTCACCTCTGTTCAAAAACCATGTCTCTCTCAATGGAGAAGAAAGATTACCAGCAGCTGTGGTCACAGGATCTATATATTAGCCCTACTATCAGAGGTGGTGTGCTGCCCAGTAGCAATCGCTTGGGCACATGAACAGGTGAATGCTGTTGTGTTCACCTCTTACTTGTGAACGCGCCAAAGGCAACTGGTTGGCCACTGTGAGAACAGCCTGGGGGCCTAGACAGACCTCTGGGCAGATCCAGCCAGGCTGTTCTCAGGCCACCCATCTGTGCTTGCAGGAAGATGCAGAGGCTGGTGTCTCAACAAAGGAAGTTTCCTCATGACTTGTTTGCTTGTTCTGTCCTCTCCCTCTCCTCAGGTGGTTTCTCCCAGAGTATCCAACACAGATAAAGACCACGGGTTCCTGCACACTTTTTTAAAAAGACCAACCAGAAACATCCCATCTGGAGCTGGTGCTTCTAAGGTTATGGTGGGCTAGGTTAAAATAAATTAACTGCAAATTAAACTGTTCAATAAAATCCAACGTAGCAAGCTGTAATTCACCCACATGTTACAACATGTAAGTTTTTGAATAAAAGTGACAATCAGTTTACCTTGATTATCTGATTTTGGATGCCTCAGCAACTCACATGATAAAGGACCTTCAGTAGGGTCTCCTCAGCACCACAGGGATGAAGATGAGCAGAAAGAGAGTGCGAGACAGAGAGAGAGCACATGCATGAGCAAGCGCTGGAGATAAGGATGGATGAGGCACTAGCAGGGGAGAAACACTCACCTCTTTTCCACCACAGTTATCCCTCATTCCCTTATTTAGCAAGCACGGGCGAAGGAACCTGTTTTTGATGGCATCAACTATGGCTCCAGCCTGCTGCCAAAATGTCAAGGTGGCATCTTAATGTCAGGCAAGGTATTTCTTGGGACTGTGTGTTAAAAGAGAAGGGGGGAAACAGGGCTGGGGGATCAGGGCCAAGCTTTGGCACATCCATTCACAGATGACTTGTCTAGATGAGCAATGGAGCACAGGATTCTATGGATGGTGCTACACTTCAGGTGTGGTCCTTCTCAGTGGAGTCACATGTTCAGCCACCAGCCACTACCAAGTGCAGAGAACTCAGAGGAAGCACAGACAGTTGTGATGCAGCCCTCGGCTTAGCATCCAAGCTGAGTGAACCAAACAGGTGGGGAGGGTCTGTGTCACACATTTCTGACCACCAGGCAGCCTGCGCGTCCATGACAAAATGTCCGATCTGTCTATAGTGCCCAGCTGCCAACACCTCTCTCTTTTCTAGGCAGCCATTTCTTTTGGGGGCACCAGGAAGAAGGGGCGGGGGGGGGGACTTCAACACATTGTGCCTGCTCTGCAATTATCTGCCCGGTCCCCCAGAAACACACAGACCGCTTCCTTGAAATGCATATGACTAAGCACATTTTCTTTTTTTATAACCACTTGCTTTTAATTACACCACTTGAGTCTCTTAGCTTTGGGGTATGTACATCTCCTCAGACTCCAGGAGGGGCAACAAATCTTCTGTCACCTGTTGCCTGCTTGGTTGGGTGAAATGTTCTGAGCCACTTCAGTGGTCTGCCCACCCCCCTCCCCTCATCTGCCTCTCCCTCTTCAGGCTCATCTCCTCATGGTATCTGCCCACAGTGTCCTCTGCACTTCCCCTTTCCTGTCCTCTGGCTGTTTCATGACCTGATGGTCCAGGTCAATGCAGCCTCCATCCCGCAAGCCCCTGCTACCACATGGGAAAGGAGCCAGGACAAGGGCCACTAGCTAATAGTCTTCCTAACATCAATATAAATAAGGAACAGTTCGAAACATTTCATAACTAACAAATAAAAACCACTGTGAAGGTCTGCAAAGTTCTAATGGAGAGAGTTCCTAGAGTGCTTTGTCCAGTGCGTGTCCTTTGTAGCAGGCCAGAGACCAGGTCTGGCAACATCTTCACGATCCCCTTAACACTGTTTAGGAGGCCACTGGTCAGTTTTGCTTAGAAGCGCAAGTCCAAGGCAAGCCTGCCTCCCGGGCTGGACTTTCCCCACCTTTGGAGCAAGCCAAATGGGAACTGGTTTTAAAAGCATCCATTCAGCATTTGTTGAAGTGTAAAAGTCAAGATCCTTTCTCCCTGCAACAGTGGTATTCTGACATCTTATTTCTTGTGGAGAAATTTCATTCTGTTACCTGGAAGGGATTGAGGGTAGAAGGAGGAAGAAAGAGAAACAGAGAAATCATATTTACCAGCAGAAAGAAAGAAACTATTGTTTAGTTGAGATCCTATACAAGGTTTTTCCAAACTGACAAAATCAACTAGCAAGGACACCCTAAGCCTAAGTATCTATTTGGATAACATCCACCCACCTCATTAAACACCATGGAGGCCTGGGCATTACACTGGGAGAGCAGGAACTTGTGGAGAGAACCTTGCAGTGGAAGGGACGACTTAAGTGCTTTTTGCCCCTCTACCTTTTTGCTCCTCTAACTTAAGTGCTTTTTGCCCCCTACCCACTATTTGCTGCACAGAGCAAAGGCAGAATGATCTCCTCCTGGACTAAACAAGGTAGCTGATTAGTTTTGCTAGGGGATCATAAGCAAAATTCCCCACTCACTCCTCCCCCCACCCCCCATACACAGAAAAGGCTCAATGGGCCACTGATCACAGGACTGGAGGCAAAAATAGCCTGAAAGCATTTGCTAAACGCTCGCGTGTTAATGTTCCCTCTGCCATTCTACCTCTCTTCTCTTGTCTCCCCACTTCCCCCATCATTACTGTAAACTCCCTTGTGCCAGGAACATGCCTTTCCTCTTCTGTTACTACCTGGCATAGATATACACTGATGGTGCTTTATTATAAAGAAGAACAACGATGGTATTATAATAGCGATGAGGCCCAAATACACTGCGACTGGTGATCTGACTTTGCAAATTTACAAGAGTTAAAAAACCAGCAGGGTCACTGCATCAGCAGCAGCTGCTTGGATCTCTTACCTAGCCCTTTCAAGAATTTATTGACACCACTCTGCTCTCCACTGGGAAGGGTTTCCAAGTACTCCTGGGCACGTACCTCAAATAATCCTACAGATGGGAAAAATAAAAGAAAATTTAAAAAAGATTGGCTGACAGCTGGTTAGTTCCAGTTGAAGGTACTGGGTCGGTAGCACTTGCATACTCAGGAGAGCAAAGTAGAAATCCCTGCAGCTGGAAGCATGTCAGTATCTCCTGGTCTACCATTCATTGTCCTAGTCTTATCAAGAGGGATCACTCACCTTTGGCACCCTGTTTTCGCAACTCTCTTTCCTGAATGAAGCCACCAAACATCTGAGTCTCCATGAAGACTTCCAGGAATCGCCGGAGGTTCTTTGAGGAGACTGACTTCCGGAAGGCCTCTCGCTGCAGGACCCGTTCTTCTTTCTCTGTGGTAGTCATGAAAAGGGAGTAGTGTCCCACAATCTCCACAAACAAGCGGACAAAAGCTTCTGACACCACATCGTTCAAGGGGCTGGATTCTGGTGATGCTACTGGGCAAATGGGAGAAAGAGGGAGATAAAAGAACAGGAAAAAGTGTGAGGCCAGGCCTTAAATACGTTTCTACCAGTCCCATAACTTTTCTTGCTGGGGACTAGATGGGTACTGCCAAATCTAAGGGAATTACGGCTCGGTGGTAGAGCATGTGCTTTAAGTTCAGAAGGTCCCAGAGAAAAGGATAACCATGGCAGCAGTTTGCAGAAGTTATGCCTGCTTCAGAAAAAAATGCAGAGGGATATTTCTCCCACCCTCCAGTAATATTCTGGGTCATCCAGTGATTGGTGGTAGAGTTACAACAGACTCTTTAGATCGAGCAAAAAATGCAAGTACAGAGGGAAATTGCAGAGGTGTGTAACATTACGCCCAGTGAGGAGAAAATGGAGATGGAGAACTTTTTCTCCCTGTCTCGCAATGTTACAACCCAAGGGCCATCAAATGACACAGAGTGGTGAGAGATTCAGGGCAGATAAAAGGAAGCACTTCTCTGCACAGTGCACCGTTGAACTATGGAATCTGCTTTTGCAAGATCTGGTGATGGCCAACAACTGGGGCACAAATTCATGGTGGATATGGGCATTCTTGGCTACTCGTCATGATGGCAATACGTAACCTGCAGTGTCAGAGACAACATGCTAGGAAACATGAGTAGAAGAGTACTACAGGACTCATGCCCTGCTCGGGCACTTCGCATAGGTAACCAACAAAGCTTTTCTTCCTACAATAGCTTGTAGGTGTTTAGCCCACACAAGCCAGGGTTAAAGGTGTGGTGGGGTGAGGGTGTGCACCCAGGCCCCACCTCCAGCATCCCAGCACACCTGAGTCCTCTTCACCAACCAAGCAGGAAGGTCCGTAAGGGGGCTGCCAGCAGATCAAGGTAGCAAGTTCTGGTAGGCTGCTCTAGAGGTCAGCTCTCTGAACTGACAGTCCCTACAAGGGAAAATGATGAGTCTATTCTAAAGTAAGATGAGAGCTTCTGAACATTACCCTGTGTGCCATTGAGAGCCCCTTCCTCCTTGTCGCTTGCCAGCTCATTCCTCTGCTCCAGGATGTGTTCTAGTGCTCCTTGCAACTTCCGAGGCAATATAGAGTCTTCATCTTCCATCTTGTAAAAAAGGACACATTCTGTCAGCACAGGCAAGTAAATCTTACGTGGGAGCCAACCTGTGCTTATTCCAAGAATCTGCTCTGAGCTCCTGTGAAGGACCAGCATGTACAACATGGCTCTTGTGCAGAGGCTGCTTTAGAAGATTGCAAAGGGACGTTTGCAATGGTCAAAGTCATTGCAGCTCTGCAGAGAACTGCTGTGCCATAACAGCTGCGGCATGCAGCAATGATAAAATGGCCTCTGTGCAGAGACTCATAGCGATATGCACATACCAGAAGGAAAGCAGTGGTGTATGGGTGACGGGGGCACAACAAAACACACCAACGGATGCAGATACTTAACCTTCAAGAGCATTTTTTTCTCTTTAAGAGCAACACAGAATAACCCAAATTGCGCATACCTTGGTCCCTCTAGCCACGGTGCTGTGTACTCTGATCAGCAGTCACACTCCTAGTCTAATGGCAAGAGGGTTTTTCCAGCACCTGGTCTTTTTTAAAACTGGAGGTGCCAGGGATTGAAGTGGAGACCTTCTTCAGCAAAGAGCCACAAATTATGTAGGCACAGATATCCTAAAGCTTTGCTCTCAGGATGCATGGAAGTGTTGTGTCTTGACCAGAATTAGTTTTGAGGTTTTCAGCTTCTTCATTTTAGACTGGCTTAACCTACATTTCTAGTTTTGTGCCAACACTGAGCCAGAACTGAGAGAACAACAACTTGGGAGATAACCCTAAGCATGAACATTCTGGCTAGAAGACAGGTGGTTTTTCTATATTTTTAAAGGCTAAAGGCAGTTCAGGGTGGTGGGGGAAAGGATCATGCTTCTGATGTGTTTATTTCCTTTAGTCTGACCTGTGGTCAAAGTCTGAGAATGTTTTGAAGGCTTGCAGGAACTGCTGATCAGAAGAAACAGCAGAACATAAAGAAATGTTGCCTATACATCATGGAAAGCAAAGCATCCTTTCAAATCATTCTCAGCTATGGTCTGCCTTCTTTTTCCCAGCTCCCAGCAACAAAACAGGGCTCAATGTCCGTTTCCAGATTACAAGCTCAGTGAAACAGGATTCTCCATCATTCCATTCTGCCTGCGTAAAACAGTTGCAGGAAAAAGAACAGCAGAAAAAAAAGTTGTTCTTACCTGTCTGAGAAGCCGGTTATTAACCAGGTCAACCACAAGGACCTGCCTCAAAGCAAGCATAAAGGGATGGAGAAGGTACATGTTAGAAGAAACTGATCTGCTGACCCCTCTGGAGGCTGGGCTAGAGGAAACATAGCGTGGTTATACAGCAGCCTACTCCAGCCAGGTGCCCTCTAGATGTTTTGACTACAGCTCCCATCATCCCCAGTCCCTGGCTGCTGTGTCTAGCTCATGGGAAAAAGGCTCTGCTTTGCCCCACCCAATCCCACAGAGCACTGAAAAAATATACAGAGCCCAACCTCAGCCTGGAGTGTTTATTTAAAACAAAAACAAAAAACCTTTCACCACAAAAACCACAGGATGACAACTTAAGCACAAGGAAGCTGTTCCTGCTTGGCCTCTTGCACACACGCTCCCTTCCTGCCCGGATGACTTCTGCTGTGAAGCCGCAGGGCTCTTCCATGCAGCTGGGTTAGGAGCTACTGATGGAATAAAATGGGAGACAGCGGCCTGCCCTCAGCTAGGCTCTGGGACTCGCTCAGCTGACGGGTTATTGCAATCCATCAGAATGCTCTCCCAGGCAAATCCTGCCACTGAAACAAGGGGCAACTGCACAGGACCACTGCCCTCTTCTTGTCCTGGTGGACCCACTTTTCCACTCTTAATGGTGCCCCATGGTTGCTACTCCCTGCCTCTCCTAACCTCATTATGGGGCCTGGGAGAGGGGAGAGCCATGGAAGGGCAAGTCACCAAAACACGCCGCCAGTTTCACCCAGATGGCTGAGATGCCGAAGAGCAAGTCAGGCAAAGCAGAACATGGCTAGGTTGCTGGGAAGGACTGCAGCGGGCATCCTGGCCACATAGACCAGATGGGAGCGGGCATTTCTGTACTACAGGAGCCCTGGATCTCGAAAGGCGAGGGAGGCTTGAATCCTCAAAGTGATTAGGGAAGTGTTTTAAAATGCCGTATTGTATTGTCAAACCGTCCTGAGGCTTCGGTAACAGGATGGTCTAGAAAAGTCTTAAATAAACAAATACGTGGATGGGGGGCATATTGAAAGTTATGGCACTGAGGCATCTAGGCCGCTGTGCACCATACACTTAGGATCGGGAGAGGAAGAGAGGGATCTCTGGGTTTCCTTCATCTTGCCCGCAGCAGTGTTCAGATCAAGCAGGCTGTGATTCAGCCCCCAAAGCATTTCAACATTCTCGTGCGTTTGTGTGCCTTGGCTGAAAAGGCCTTCAAATGGAACCAAAACATGCCGCAGCACATGCCCCTCCGGCACGCATGAAGAGAACTCATCAGGCCGCTTTGACATAATTGGCAGCAACTGCTCAGATCAAATTGTGCCCATCACGGCCTTGGTGTGCCTTCAACTGCAAAACCAAAATGCAATCCGCGGCCGGGGGTGGGGGTGGGTGGGCAGGGAGGACCAGCAATGGCTCACAAAATGAGGTCTTGGAGACAGAGGAAGACAAGAAGTTTACTCCAGAGTTATTAGAGCATGCTCATGTTCAGAGAGCTAATTATGCTTCCCAAGAGTTTGGCTGTACCCCAACCACTCTGGTGTTGTGGTCAGAACATCTGGACTGGGGAAACCCAGGTTCAAATTTCTACCCAGTCACCAGGATGCTCATCGGGTGATCTCTGGCCAGCCACTGCTTCTCACATAAAAGTAACTCATATGGTTGTGAGAATAAAACGGAGGAAAAGACTGAGAACAACGTATGCTGCTTTAATCCTCCCAAAGTGAAGGCATTTTTAAAATGTGGATGCATGGACCAGTCATTCACACGGTACAGCAGGTGGGCTGGCAGCCTCCGTGCTGGGGAATGGCACCTGGGAACTTGAAAGCTCGTATCTTCACAACATGTGCAGGCCACCCTATAAACAACGTTCTCAGGGTGGCTCACAGCATGAAATGGAACTGAAAAGCTCCATAATGGTAAAAGTGCAGCATTTTAAAAACTGCAGACAGAAAAACCAGTTTAAAGTTAAGAAGGCTGGGAAGAGATAAAAGCTTTAGCCTGCCATCAAAATGAGCCCAAGCCACACATCAGGTAGGCTCCATTCCACGGCCGGAGGCCACCTGTGATGCCTCATTCAGCAGGAGTACTTGGAGGATGCAGTAAGCACTGCCTGGGGTACTGTAGCAAATCAAAGCTACTCTTTCCCCACAACACACCTTTCCAGTTTAGTGCCCAGGTAGCAGCTGCGTCTGCCCACCCCCCTCTTCCTACATTTGGGTCTCACCTCTTCCACTGGCAGCTCCTTGAGGCGGGGCAGCGAGCTGGAGAGCAGACCAATCAGAAAGGGAGTTGGTGAGCATACAATGTCAATCATGGAAGGGGGGAGCACCGGAATATAGGTGTGCTGCCACGTGAAGGGGTACAGGAGGGCCACCATGGCATGGCAGCATTTTGACAAGGTGCTGGAAGTAAAAAAGAAACATACGACCATCAGCCAGTCCAAAACTCTTGCGGCCTCTTTGAGGCAGGCACACAAAATTGGTGGCAATGGGACTCCATTGGCCCCAGCCACCATGACAGCCAAGCAGATTTTAACCTGCAATTGTGCCTGCATTTCCAAGATTTTCAGTTAAAGGTGAGAAACCAAGTTTACTGTCCTCATGATTGGAAATTGTAACCAGCATCTATTGAATACTAAGATACTAAAGTGACATTTGGGCATTTGGATTTTCTGAGCTTTGCAGAAGTTGATCTCTTTTCCTCCATCAGACTTTCAGATCTGTCTCTCCCCACCCATAATCTCTGTCCTTCAATTATTCACTCCCATACTTTAGATGACCAAAGAATTTCCAAATATGTATTTGTCATCAGAATTTTTTTTCCTGCAAATATATTTCGTATACTATTGAGATTGAATTTCCCCTTGGAGCGTGTGTGTTCTGTTTTTAAGCACACAGAACCATCCCCTGTCCTACCTCCATTATGGTACTCTCTTACAATAAGTCTGCACAATAACACCAGCCATCCATTTTAGTGGCTACAGCATATACCAGAGATTTCTCCAAACTGTACTATGTTGGCTCATATAACCTTTGTGCCTATTTCCCCCTGAGCCCAAGGACTCCTGCGATCATGGGATTAATGGCTATTCTCAGCTTTCTCAGCACTGCCTCTTCAGTGCATGGCACAATCCCAATATTCCTCTATTTTTTCCTGCTAGCTAAGCAATTTTTGAGAAAACTCAAAGTCAAACATACATGCAAGGAAAGAAGAAAAAAAGAAGACGGAGGACATCAAGTGACGGATAAGTAGCTAGGGATGCTTCCTGCTGGTAGGCTTTCTGAATGCTTTCTTGAGAGGTAGCCTGATGACTCAGTCCAACCTCCCACCTGCCATCCAAATGGGATTCCCAACACTGATCACTGCATAGAATCATAGAACCGTAGAGCTGGAAGGGGCCATGAAGGTCACTGGGTCCAGCTGCATGCTGTTGAAGGACACCAAATGCCGCTGTATGTCCAAGTGGAAAAGCAGGATCAGCGCAGGCACTTCAGCAATCACGGTGTAAAAGCCCATCGCCATCAATAGGATCAGCATCATTGTAAAGCGAAAATGGCAAAACACAAGCTCTCATACTTCAGGCCGATCACGAGAAGGGAAGACTCACTGGTAGGGAACGTCAAAGGCAGAAGAAGAGGAGGAAGACCGTATGAGATGGGCTGATTCCATAAACGAAGCCACAGCTTTGAGTTTACATGAACTGAACAGGGCTGTCAAGGAAAAGACACTCAGGAAGCCTCATTCATGGGGGTCACTGAAAGTCATACATGACCCGACAGCAACTAATTAATAAATTATTAAATTTGTATGCCATCCAATTACTTATGTCTCTGGACAGCCTACTGCATAAATAAATTGACGACCCACTATGGCTGCAAGTTAATAAAATACAGTAATAAAATTCAATATGAAAACATATTAAAATATTGATTAAATAAAAAAGTCTAAACTGGCGCCAAAAAATATATAATGACGGCGCTGGGCGGACCTCTCTGGGGAGCGCATTCCATAGTCGGGGTGCCACCACAGAGAAGGCCCTCCTCCGGATACTCTGTCTCCTAACATCTTTCACAGAGGGTTCCCGGAGGAGGGCCTCTGCTACCGATCTCAGGGGGTGGGAGGGCAAATAGGGAAAAAGGCATTCCTTTAGGTACCCTGGTCCCAAGCCGTTTAGGGCTTTATAGGTAATAACCAGCACCTATATCATCACCATCTTTTTGCTGCCCAACTGCCAAAGCTCTCTGGATGGTTCACAATTAGAACAGCTAAAAGCTTCAATAAGCAATTTCAGTAGCGGACTGGACTAGGCGCAGCTGACACAAACACCCCATCATATGCCACAACACGCCTGGAAGCAGAGGGCAGTCTTGAGCTGGCAGCGAAAGAATGGCAGTGATGGAGCCAGGTAGGCTTCAGTGCAAAATCATCCCACCATCAGGGAGCCACCACTGAGGAGGTGCTCTTCCCTTCTTGCTACCTTGTCAGTCTTTCTAGGGGGCCACCTTAAGCCCCCCATTACTATAGATTCACTTTCCACAAGCAGGTGCCCTCCAGATGTTTGGACTACAATGTTCATGAGCTCTAACCAGCACACCCAAGGAGCAGGGGTGAGGGGAGTCACAGCCCAAAACATCACCAAACATGTTGTTTCCATGCTTGGCTTAGAACTATTGGTCACTCACATGGGAAACTAAGATCAGAAAGCAGGGCTGCCTGGGTGTTTGTTGTAGATTCTCCATACACAATCACAGATCTCCCAGTATTTGAAGTACTTTGGCTCCTAACTAAGGCTAAATTTAAAAAAAAGCAAGATGGAAGGAAAATAGCACCAGAGTTACTTTCTTCATCCATGCGCGTGCACTCGCCCTGCCTCATTCATGCACTTCAATGAAAGTTCTCTTGTACTCATAATTCTCCCATGTTCCCGCCACTGCTTCTTTTTTCCTTCCTGCAGAAAATCCATTAAGGAAGAAAAGACAGATTTGCTGTGGAAAGTGAGCACTAGGACCTCTCCATCTAGAACCACCTTCTGTTGTGGTGTGGAATTTGGCTTTCCTAAGAATGGGACTATTTTTAAGCAGAGATTAATGGATGAGGCGGCAAAGCAAAGTGGCAGGTATTGAGATGGGGAAGGATGAAATGTGGCTTCCACTCAAACACAGTCAACAGACTGGTGGGAGACATTTTCTCTTCTGTGAGCTTCAAGAGAGGTTTGGCTAGACAGTTTTCATGTTTGCAACTGCAGAAGAATGCAGTGACACGCATTTATACCAATCCTCCCCCCACCCCCCCCAAAGGCAGGTAAGGACATAGAAAGGGTACGGAAATTAGTGCAAGCAGCATGGTAAATCACCAGCATTGAGCATTTGAGGGGGGCTTATGAGTTATGAAATGGTAGACACAATCTCCTTTATAAGCCAGGAAGAAGAAGGAAAAGGCAGGAAAAAAAGAACACTCCAGGCTTGGCAAGGATAAGAAAGAAATAATGATTGCTGAATATAGATTTATTTAAAAAGATAACAACAGGCTATTTATTTTTAGCATATATGCTGGGCAGCAAAGAACAATGGCTCTCCCCTTTTAAACAAAAGTTTCTAGTCCTCATGGCTGACAAATCAATTCTTGGGAAAAAAAGTACAGGCACCAAAGGATTTAG